TTCGAGTCGAAAACACCAACGTGAATGCTCCTCCGGTAAGTACCAACGACGAAATTATACTTTACTGAATTGGCCGGTATGTAATGATCATTTAGCCGTCCACCTTGAATACGGCCAGCGCGTATATTTCACGACCGAAACAGCGATTGATCGTGCGAGAAATCCTCCAACAACTATACTTACCGAATTTTTTGAATTGTGTGATCGTGAAGATACTTTTGGCGCTTATGCATGTACATTCTTCTATTCTGAAGTACCACGCTATTTACCAATGGGCTCCAACATAATACTTCTTTTCGCGCAGATCATATCAGGAATGCGCTAAGAGTAATTATCTATCTTCTATGAGCCAACCTTCTGTTTCGCGATCACTGTACTATATATAAAATTTTATTATCAAAGTAAAAGCCGGGACTTCCTAACAACAAATCAAGTGCAAATATACGAGTATATAAGAATATTCTTCTTTTTTACTTTACCAACTGGGCAAATAAATATAATTTGACTCGGACGAAAAACGCAGTTCTGCCAAAGATTTTTCAGACAATGTAACCAGTGCATTCACAGGTAACAGTGAGAATAGGCACGTTAATGTAAAATTGATGTGTTTGTTCTTATTTTCATTAGCTTAATATGTACGATTTAGCTAGTCATTTTTGTGTGTGTGCCATGTTATTCGAAAATCAAAGGAGTTATATCATTCTCATGGAGAAAGGAGAAATTTTTGATGGCACCCTTTTTCGGAAGGTTTGGAAATACAAGGCAACAGGCAGAGTTTCGTCTTTACCTGGTCATTATGATAGCCAATAATATTCAGCGATGTTTTCCATATTTGTGGATAATATCCAATTTTAAATATGACACTGAAAAGGAAATATATGCGGTAGCACCCTGCAATTTTATTTTTAACAGGATTTTTTAGAAAAAGTAAGTTGCCAAATTATCTTTTTAAATATGTAATCAGGTAAACTAGAATTTTTGTCACCTAGAGAAATCATTAAAAGTATCAGTCCAATAATAAACCTTTTCTTATAATATCCTCACTACAGTATTTGACAAACCCAAAGGCGCCCAATTTATTTGAATTTAAATACAAATGATTGTAGCCGAAATTTATTAGGGCAAATGAAAAAATAGTATTGTATTTTCTATCTATACTTTTACTGTCATCAATCGAAACAAAAAGGACTAACCAGCTGGTATCAATATTGTTTTGGTCTGGTTATGTTCACTGGTCCGCCTGTGCACCAATGTACCGCGATATATCTGAGTCTAGTTTTGTGACAGTTACGATATGAAACAATAAAATAAACTTAAAAGCTGTCTTAAAACTAGAGCAGTTATTCTATATGGCTGCTTCAGGTAGGAGGGAATTGCATGAGCTTAGTTGGGATAGTCGCCAGTGGAAGTTTTGAAGTTGTGGTTGTAGCGGCTACGTTAACCCCACTTAGGTACTGGTTAGATCAATCCAAATCACCGAGAAAATCTAACAGGATGTCCAAGAAAAGTGGATGTGGTTAGTGTCGTACGGAGTCTCCACATAACGGGCATATGTTGGGAATGTTAGGGTCGAGTCTGGATAGGTAGGAGTTAAATATTCTACAATACCCAGACCTAAGTTCTGTCAGTGTCGTGTGGGCAGCTGGGGTGGTGGTTTATCTCCGAGCATGTCATTCACGGGAAGGGGGGCTTTGAAGATGTTGACTGCCTCCATGTGAATGGTGTTCAGTACTTGTGTGTACGCCGTCCTGTCCAGCGATTGTTGCACATGTTGCAGGATGGTGTCTTCTCTGTCTAGTACTCTGTTTCTGATGCGCTTAGTTGGATGTTCAGCTTCTAGAAGATGCCACTACGGTAAACTCCTGTTGAGTATAGCATTATTCAATGGCAACTCTATCTTTGCACAATTATACGTCGTTAAGCTATTTAATTCTTTTCTTTGACATACTTTGTTTTATTGAACTCGCTCGCGTATCATTCAAACACATTCCGGTAGAAATTGTTTGCACAGCGAAGCATTATGAACCTTAACTCGTACCATAGATGCTTTGTTTTCTGGCAAGCCTGCAGCCTGCAGGCTGTCGAGTGTAGCTCCCAATATCTTGGGTTATTTATGGTCGGAATTTTTATGTCATCGACCTTCACACCTAATTTGAGTCTGTACTCCTTCGACCAGCTGGTGAAGAGGGCAGACGAAGATGTGGGAAATTTTTGCGAGACAGCAGTTACTTTCGAACAAAGGTCATCAATATCCGACCACTCAGGTAGCCCATATTCCACCTCTGCAGCCCAAGGTAATGAGGATGCCCCGATTTCCGATAGTAGCAATGAATGATTGACGGTGTCAAAAGCTTTTGAGAGATCTAGTGCAACCAGGACAGTTCGCGCTTAGTGTCGGTTTGGGTTAAGCCGTTTAGTACTGTTGTGGTACTGTGCACTTTACTTAAGCCATGCTGGTCTGCTGTTGGACGCAGATGGTGAGTGAAAGTCGGGAGCAGCAAGGCTTCAAGTGTCTTCGCTAATGGGAAGAGGAGAGTTATCGGCCAATAAGCCTCTTTTTATTGGCTGGTTTCCCCAACTTGAGACAATTGAGGCGAGGGCAGACTAATACAGCATGAGACAACGTTAACATCACTCCACTCAAGGGTGGTGCATAGACCAAAGCGAGTCCGAAAATGACACTAGCCAGAACAAGAGTTTCATCTGATTGAGCTCGTGTTCCGACGCACTATGGTCAGACGGTCACACGAAACAGATTATTCAGAGAACAAGGTGCTGCTGGAAAGCTCTCACACGGGAGAAGTAATAAACGTATTATAAAGATTTTCGGATCGTTATAATGACTTAACGATAATTTTAACGATTTTGCTATTCTCTAAGCACAGTATAACGATTTTCGGATCGCAAAGAAAACTTAGCGATATTCTCTAAAACGGTATAACGATTTTCCGATCGCAAAGAAGACTATGCGATATTTTTAATGAAATTCGCTATTCTCTAAGAATGGTACAACGATTTTCGGATCGCAATGAAGACTTAACGATAATTCTAGCTATTTTAATATTCAGTGTACTTATTTTAACGACATTTGCTCTCGTTGTTGTCAAAAACTACTCGACAAATCGCTAACTAAGCGACGAATATTTTTACGTTGTTAGCGATATCGACAACGTATTGTTATTTCATTAAGGTTGAAATAAAATAAAGTAAGTCCGGAAATTGCCTAAGTTATTTAAAAATCCAAATAAAATTATAAACAAAAATGGCTTTTGAACATTTGGCACACGTTTCGTCCCAAGATGAGGAGGTATTGTACCCTTCATCATTGGGTAGAAGTTTGCTTCCGGAAGTTGAAGATCGTTTCCACTTGAATGCAACTAAGTTTCTTGATAGCCAACAAAAAGGCAGAAAATAACAACATTATCTACGGAGAAACAGGTAGTATTGTAGCTTTCAAATTAATTTTTAGTTTTTACACTATTAAAATGCTTTAAGGTCAGGCAGCCTTTCGATTCTTTGCAACTGGAAGCTAACAACGTCCCATCCGAGAGCAATAGGGATTGCCTATAAGTCAGTCGTCAGTAAGTTATTGTATTCATCGCGTGACAGGAGCAGTCAACCGTTCAATGTATCCTGCGAAGGTTAAATTTCCCATTACGTGGTCATTTGCTGCAGTAACTATTGTAGCTACCTTCACGAAGACCAATCTACCAACGAGCAAATGTTGAGAGTAAATTTTTTACAATTACTATTGAAGTAACAAAGTTCATTATATTTGTACATAGATATGTGATCCCTTTCCCAAGATTACAGCGGCAAATGCCACGTACCCAAGAGAGGGGCATAATTATTTTATTTGGAGCTTCTCTATAGAGAGAACTATGCATGAAAGTGCAAACCATAACATGTTTTTGATAAACTTTGTAATGCATTGCTATTCATTTAATAAAAATAATTTCTATGACAAATTTATTTGTTTTTTGGTCATTTCTTTTTGTGTTTTTCGCATATTTTGACGTTTTGTTAAGCTGTTGTGCCAACTTTCCTTCATGTTAATAAAATGGAAATGGCCGTTGTCGATTATAGTAAAAACTGAGTTAGAGAATCGCATAATCGTTAGCACAAGCGACAAAATTCGGAGCTTTGCGGTCCGAAAAATCGTGTCGATAAAAGTTACAGAATTGCACTGCTGATGAGAAGAATTTGCAGCAGCCCATCTACAAGGTGTTGCTCCGCTAATAACCTTATGCTTATGTTACCTGTTGACCTAAACGGTCGCCCAAAGGATGACAGCTTTTGGCCGGATAAAATCCGGGTCAACAGTGGAAGTAACTTTAAATGGCTGTTTGATATGGCAGATCACTAAAACTATAAAATTATTACAAGTTTTATAGCTTTCGATACAAACGCTGTCCGGAATATTTGTCTTGATGTTTTGAAGCCCAATTTTGCGGAATCGAATATAGTCAGCAAAATAAAAAGGAAATGAATCGAAATTGCATACCCACGAATTTAAATTGCCCAACTATCTGCCTTATTCTGCCTTATAATATTTTTTTCAGTAGAAGAGAAATTTTAATTGAAATCAAACCACTCCGAGAATGGAGAATATTAATTAAAAATAAGACATTTAGACCTTAATGTGATTTCAGCTGGTGACAACGTTGGGAACGCCAACTGTAACGAAGGAGAAAATATCTTTTTGGTGTCTCTATCTGATAAAGAGAAAACTAATAAGCTGTCGATAATTTATAAAAGTTGAAATATGTAATTTCGAGATGATTGAAATTCAATAATTGTTACATACTGTCTAGATACTAATAAAAATAAATTAGAAATATAACTACATCACCAGCTTTAAAAAAAATATGGCAAAAAACTATACCTTAAAAAGAATGTAAAATAATATATACGGTCAATTCTTACGAAACCTGAATAAAACTTAAAACTTAAGCTCGAAATCTGTAACATAATTATACTTATAATAACTAAACTCATCATTTGAACGCTTTTTCTGATATCAATGCTGTATTTACACTAAATGAGTCTACGAATATACCGTAAATCCTAAATTATAGTATCCAGCTGTCTTGCTTGATGTAAAATCTTCTTTTGATGACCAACTAAAGTTATACCCATGTCCGACAGATGTTGGGCCGTTAACCGAGAAATCTATAAAAGAAATAGGAAATATATTACTAGAAAATTCTTACTTTTAAAAATAATCGACTTCGTATTTTCTATTATCAAGAAAAAGGTAAGACATCGCAAAAGTAAGAGTCGCAACAAAAACAAAACAAAGTTAGCCGGCAGCAGCTGGGTAAAGTAAAAGATAAAGAAATAATGCTACGCTACACCGATCTGGGTACTGGGTGACAAACGAGTCGCAGTTGAAGAACCTACAAGCGTACCAAAACACCGCGACAGAAAACCGTCGGATATCGCCCAGCATCACTTGCACAGCCAGCCATCTATTTTATGATGTTACCGAAAGGAGCTCTCTAATAGATATCTCTAAGAGGCCTAACCTCTACCTAGGCACATTAGAAAGCGAGTACTTGACTTAAAGAGTCCGTCATGAACTCTCTCCTTGTATATAGCGCTTTTGTAGTCAAACTACCATCTATAGCAGACGAAGGGCTCTGGACTGGGACTGGACTGGCGTATCTCAGGCCTGGATACTGTAGCAGATTGAACCCCTATTTATCTGGACTCGACCTCGACATACCTAACGTAGGTTCTGCATGCAACGAATCCCCGCATGCCCCCTAAACCCAAGTCATCGAAGCCCCAAGGCCGACTAAATTAATTTGCACCCCCCCCCCCCCACTACTAACTACTCGGCTATTTTACCGCCAATAATTTTGCAAATTTGAAGAAATTATGACATTAACCTTGCCTCGTATATGCAATGAGACTTTTCAATGTTGCACTCGGAGGAGTCGACATTCCCCGCCGAGCGGCGACCGATATAAGAAAATTTAACTTAATTAATTAAATTAATTTCCTATAACTTTAGGATATTGGTCATACCAGGATTTGAACCCGGGCCTGTCGAGTGGCAGTATGCAATGTTAACTACTCCGCTACAGCGGCCGTGTTATGATTGTGTTATGTATATTTCAAATGTGGATGTAAGCTTAACGCAAATGACTTCGATTGTCGATTGACCGAGAAGAAGATATAAAGAAGATAATAAAACCGATGAAAAATGCAAAAAAAGATAAAGATGAAAGTTTGACATAACATAAAGAGGAAATAATAAATGAAGTGAGAACAGTTCTTGAACACAATGAACAAAAGATAAAGATATAAAACAAATTTCTTTGGGAGGCAGGGAATGTTATTGTTGTAACCGCGAAATTATTCCCCAAAGCACTTTTTTGGGGAATGTAGCGGGAGTGGCAGTCCTTGGCCGGATGAAAATCCGGGTCGCTCCGGTATAAAGACCTGACAGACGTGGGAACTATTGGATTTTAGTCACCTCTTACGACAGGCATGCCTTACTGCCGGTAAATTCTTGAGCCCCTAACCCGCAGGGGGTAGGCAGAAATGTCAACCTTTCCGATTGTATTTCTCACATGATATAAAGGCTCCTCACAAAAACCATAAGCTTTTTTCCAATACGCACACAATAAATTGGAGGAAAAGCATCAATTCGGATCAGCGCTTAAATAGCCTATTACATAACAAACTTGAAATAAAGATTTACGAAGGTATTTAATCCGGAAACTACACTTTGCTCACTAGCAAGTACCTTAGTATCAGTTGAAACAGTTTGGTTCGACTAACACAGCAGGGAAGCAGGAATTATAGTTATGCACATTAGCAAAGCTCTACAATTTCGTGAAATATATAATAAATCCATTAATGAAAATATGTGGGCAATTCTTATAAAATTGCAAAATGTTGAAGTATAATGGGGTGTGCAGTAACAGTCGCCAGGCTAAATTCAATCCCAAGTCTTGTGTATGGTTGCTCGCCCTGGAAACGTGAGAATCCCTTGAGCAAGATGCAGAAACTAACCCGTTTAAAGTCTCGGCTCACAGCTAAAAGAGAGGAAGCTTCAGTGGAGTCACACCGACATATTCCAGAGGTGCCGCTGCTGCTATACTGGTGTTGTCCTCGTAAGACCTAAGGTCTTACCGTCCGAGAAACAAGAGCACAAATCGATGACAGATTCGTGGAGGGAGAGAGACTCCGTCGTCGAATACTGGCATTCACTCCGGTGGATAAACATCTCGCCACAATCCGCACAAAAATGAAGACTTTTAACATATCGCTGATTTGCGCACACGTTTCGACGGCAGAAAAGGACGATGACTTCGGTACTTCTGTAAGAAAATTCAGACTCCACAACGAAACATCCCCTAATAAGTTGAGGTTGATAGACTTCGCCGGGGCTAGAAATATGGTTGTCTGTAGTACTAGAGTCCAGCACAAGTAAATACATCAAGCTACATGGCTGTCCCCTAATCTAAAATCTCAAAACCAGATCGATCATGTTGTGATAGCGGAAGACAGGTCCGAGGTGTTCTTTACATGCAATGCACTTCGACGTCCAACATTGAATCGGATCACTATCTTGTAGAGGAAAGGAAACATACCATCCTTAACGCAACAAAAAAGGCACATCAACAAATACAAGGAAGGTTCGACATCGAAAAGCTGCAACCACAACAGGCTGCTGAACAGTTTTTACTCAACTTGTACACCTGCTTTTTGAGAGCACTTATCAGCAACTCGGTATAAAGAGCTATGGGACTTCATTCCAAGCTCCCTAGATATAGCTGGTTTTCGAAATTCGCATAAACAGCTGGTACGATGAGGATTACTGTGCCGCTGTGGAGAGAAAGCATACCTCGATATGTGATATTTAATTCCGTAACTAGCCAACAAAAGTTAAGAGCACTTATTTTTAGTCGCTGTTTTAATTTATTTTTACTATTATGTTACCACAACAGATTACATGACTGATGTTGTCTCAGGTATAGACCAGTCGCGTGTTAAGTCATAATTCGTTGGTTTGGTCCCTGTCATAAGAAGTCGGATGAGTGAAGTGGTGACCTTTAATTCAACCATTTGTTTTCGTTGTATTTAATTCACCACAAGTAAAAAGGCGAAAACCGTTTGGTTTCGGGCGGTTTTAACGGCTATCATCATCTGTGGCATTTCAGCATGTCAAACGACAGTTGAGGGACGGAGCTGGAAAAACAAATAGACAATTCGACATTCTGCACCATGAATGATGACGTCCCCATCATAGTTATGGCTAATTGCCAATACTCGTCATACATAACATTGCGAGAGCTGGTCTGATAAATAGCCTGGCGACCTATGCCGATTTTATTATCGGACCGCTTATCCATACCAATCTCGACAGACGATTCGACAACTTGAAAAAAGTTTACTGGCCCAGTTTCACGGAATTTACCGAAAATGCCTTTAGTGCTCCCTCACTCCAACTGACGTCAAACCGGGTGGATGTACTTTCCGCAGGATTATCGTAGACACTGCCGCCCGCGTCCTCTAATCAGGGATCTCAATCGGGAGATTCGTCGACTGCAACCTCTTTTCTGGGGCTACCAAGCTCTGGTTCACAGTCTTATCACTGTCAAACCAGACGAGACGAGATGACCGGGTGGAAAGTTAATTCAGTGACCGAGACCCGCCGGGCCCCGAAAAAAACCGCGAGTTACTTTAGCCGTATCTTCAAATTACATCCTCCGGCCGACAAAATGAAGCGGCCAGTAACCCGCCGCCTGCGAGAACGGCCAAACTCCAGCGCGACGCTTGAATTCTACATGGAAGAGGATCATGCGGAAGGCGAAAGCCTCCAAACCCATCGTCCCCGACGGAAAAGCTTGCTGATGGTGAAACATCCTGGACCAACGGGAGCACACTTCCTCGCCAAGATCCTAATGTGTTTGTGACCACCTTAATCATACTTGACGTGTGGAAAATGGGCAGGGTGGTCCCGCTAATCAAATCGGGGATACCAGCCAACAACGGAGAGTTATCGGCCGATAAATCTCCTCTCCTCACTCACTATCCAGCAGCACGCAGCACCTGGTGTAAATATAAAGAAACTTTGCTGGTAATCTGCAAAGGCCGGTCTTTAATTATGCTGTACCGATCTGGGCACCAGGAACGAACGAGGCGCAGATGAAAAAGCTACAGACTTGTCAGAACACTGCCATCAGGACGGCGACAGAAACCGCCGAGGTCATCTAATGGTAGGCCCAGGAAACGAGCTGTTTCGACGGGGTTGTACCAAAGGGAGAGGGGGCTTAGATGAGTTGGTTTGAGAAGGCATGTGAAGAGGCGGTTAGTGTCGTGCGGAGACTCTCCACACGCAGGGCATACGTTGGGTATGCTGGGGTCTAGTCTGGATAAGTAGGAGTTTAACCTGCTACAGTATCCAGACCTCGAGGCAGCTCGAGCTCGTTGTCTGCTATAGGTGATGGTATTTCTCCAAGTACGCCATTCACTGGAAGGGAGTCCTTGAAGGTGTTGACTGACTCCTGGTGAATGGCGTTCAGTGCTTGTCGGTACGCCGTCCTGTGCAGCGGTTGTTGTACGTGTTGCTGGATTGTGTCCTTTAGGTCTAGTACTCCTTTCCTGATGTGCATCATGTGCATCCCTGCGGCAGCATCCCAACAGGAACTGCTTGCAGAGCAAAGCATTATGCTCCTTAACTCGTAGCATAGATGCTTCCCTGTGCAAGTGATGCTCGGGCGACATCAGGAGGCATCCTGTCGCGGTCCTGAGGGCGGTGTTCTGGCAAGCCTGTAACTTCGTCATATGCGTCTCGTTCGTTCCCGGCACCCAGATCGGTGCAGCATAGTTTACGACCGGCCGGCCAATTGCTTTATAAGTAGCCAGCAAAGTATCCTTGTCTTTACCCCAGGTGCTGCCGGCTGGCGCTTTGAGTATTTTGTTGCGGCTCTGGAGTTTCGCGACAATTCCGGTCATATGCGGAGTGCAGGAGTGCAGGCTGTCTAGGGTTACTCCCAATATTTTTGGGTTATTTACCGTCGGAATTTTTGTGTCATCGACCTTCACATCTAGTTCAAGCCTGTACTCCTTCGTCCGAGGATTTCGTCGGTTGAATTTGTAGCTGTCTTGCAGTGAAGAAGTGGGAGAGATCAGCGAGGTAGTCGTTCACTTTC